TTTCCAACTGGAAATATTCAAACGATAATGAATGACGTTCCTTCATTTCAAATTTTCAAATCAAAGCGTATTACTCCCTTCTTCTATCCTGCTGTCAGAATGTAACACGCTTGTATTTGAAAATTTGAGATGGAGCTTTATTATCGTTTAAATAAGTCCAATTAGAAAAAAATATTTTAAAAATATTAATTCGTTTTATTATCAACTAGATACAGCCTGTTTTTAAATATGTACTTTATTTATGATGTCAAATAACTAGTTTTTAGTTTCCATATAATTTTTATGTATTTTATTATAAGGACTCCATACTACTTCTCACTTTGTTTGAATTACAAATTTTCAATAGACACAAAACATATGATAAATCGATGTTTTGCAGCGATTGTCGTATTGGATTTAGAATGAGGTCACTTTGCTCGTTATTTTTCCCTCATCAACCTCAAGCATTTGATACCCTGAATAGGGAGTGACTATAGAGATTATACGCCCGCTGCTTATTATGTTTCATCGGGGTGACTATGAAAAAAGTAAATGGCCAATTTGCGGTGGGCGCCATATTGGATTCAGAATGAAGTCGTTATTGCGTTTCTCTCATTAAGCCCTTTCATTTGATATCCATGTCATAGGGTTGAACGTCGGCAGCCATATTGGATTTAGAATGACGACACTTTGTTGCGTTTCTCTCATAAAGGTTCTTCATTTGATACCCATACCATAGGAATATGATATAATGGAAACTATAAATCGCCATTGTGAAGCATCCGCCAAATTAGTTTCACAATAGTGAGTTTATTTAGTATTGTCACACACACCAAACGTGCGTTCAAAATACCAGCTAAATTGGTTTAGTTTAACTGATTCAAAATATTCAGTTGTAAAAATGATTGTTTTAATACACCTTACGTTATAACTGATCCTAAAATACGTTTTACTTTTTAGCCTGAACATATGTTTTCTTTTACTTTTCTGGATGTTATATGACTTGTACATTGTCATGTCACTCATTTCCGTGGGTCTGTTTACTAATCCTTGACCCGTCTATAACTTGGAAAGTACCGCTCACATTTGGATGAAATATAAGAATCAAATCCAAGCGAATAACCAAAATTTCTGTGTGCCGCGGTTATAATATGGCTCAAGATGACACACGGGTTGATGACGTCATTTACACGAATCGCTTGAACGCATTGGTTTTAACCGCGGTTTTGTTGCAAGTTGTTTATTTTAGAAAAGTGCGTATATAATCTGATTATTTTTATTATCACTTAATAATCGGTGCTTTTTGTCTACAACGGTGTATGGAAGTTTAAATAAGAAACCTTTCATAATATTCATGAGAGAAATGTTTTCTTTTCAGAAATTTTGTTTAACGATGGAACCATGGTTTTGTAGTTATGACAACTTTCAATTCTCTAAAGTTTTCCGCATATCAAAGAAAACATTTATTGATTTAACAGAAATTATGAAAAAACGATGAAAAAAGATATTAGCAAAACCGTATACAGGTGGACATCATCCAGTGAGTTAAATGGCCATATTTTAACATTCTTGTGGTATATGGATACACAGAATACTTTGTGTTAAACATAAAACAAATTCAAGCGGATAACCAAATAAAAATGGTATTTACCATTTTGGATTGGTATTTACCGATCCGTTCAAGCGAGTGTGGTTATCAGTTTGGTTATAAGATCCGTGACGTCATGAATCAGCTGTTATATGTCATAGTTATCACCGCAAAATTGTGGTATTTACCCAACTCAGGAGTAGTTTCATATTTCTGGTTATTATTTGACATGTGACAAGTTAGAATTTTGCCGGGTATTGGATATCTTTATTGTACTTCAGCTTCATTTTTGGGAAACTTGATACAGGCCGACTTCAGTTTTATCATAAGAGAGCACCTTATTAGTTATCATCATTACTGTTGTTGGGGACACTTTAAATCTAGTTCCTATAATCAAATCCAAGCGAATAACCAGTATTTCTACCTATTAGACATATTTCACTCATCTTAAATGTCCCCCATCCATTTACCCTTAGAAATAGTTCCGTCATCCTTTACGATCTGATGATAGCGTTGGATGGGAAGTACAGAGTGAACTTACTTGACGCCATGTTTTAATTTTTCAGACGTCAGACAGTATCTGCATCTCCCAAAGGAGCTTCGCCATCGGAATCTGCATAGCGGGCATCATTCTAATGCTGTGTGTTGTGGCAGCCATTGTATTCCTGCTTGGCAAAAGAAGAAGCAAAACGACATCTCATCTAGAAAGCTCCATTTACAGTGGACCATACACAAACACAGCTTACAGCCATAGTAGCTAGAACGATTCGACGTGACGACGAGTGAAATCACTAGGAAATTTCGACAAAATAAATAACATGAAAGCTTGCTGGAACCTTGAAGGGCAGAAAAGAGGTCTAGAATCTCAGAAAAAAAGATAATCCTTTGTACGCAGATTTTCGAAATAATCAACTCGTCTCAGTATAGTTTATAAGATTTGCATGCGAAAACCAAGCTAATAAAAAGGTCCTCTTTTCTTAACTAAATAGTGCAAGCCAAGTTTTCAAGACGCCATGAAGTTTTTAAAATGATCATTTTCGAAATAACATTATATTATTTAAATGTAGGTAGGCGTCAAAATTACTGAAAAACGAGAATACTGCAACTAGCTCAGTAAATTTGAGGTTATTAAAATATATTGAAACAATACGAGCAGCGTCATGATATAGCCAAGCAATTTCTAGAATATCCTTTTTGTCTAAATGTTGCAGTTAATACATACTGCTATAGGCCTTTTCGCCGATTTCGGAACTCTACCATGGGTGTAACTTAACTTCCCTGAAATAAAATAAATTGAAGTGAATTATGGAGGTCCAGTGGTTTCATTCGCTTTTGATAGTATTTCAATAAAGTACCAGGCACAAAATATGTTAATGAAATTAAATTCAAGTTTGTATCCAGTGAAACCATTTACTCTCCTGGTCTTGGCTTTCAATGTGAACGAGAGGGAGAGAAGCGTGCAATATCAATGCAAGACTTATGTTAGAAAAAGTGCGCCATATAAGCATCGGTGCCAGGTTGCCTGGCAACAACAGTAGGTAGGAGAAGGAGCGCAACTGTAACTCCTCCTCCCATTGCTGTTGCCAGAGAAACGTAGGAGCGACGCTTACAACGCGCACTCTTTCTAACATACGTGTTGCACGCATCTCTCTCTCATACACACTGAAAACCAAAACCGAAGAGATAAATAAATTTCACTGTACACGAGGAAGATGAAACTATGAAGGTGATGCCAGTAGTGTTGCTGTGACCCGCTAAAATCCACGAAAAGACCTATATACCTATTTTCAAGTCCTGATATCCAAATATTTGAGTGATTTTTTCAGCTACAAGATTCCGAAAAAATGTGCGATATTATATGAACTGATACGTGCTTTCTATATAGATTAGGTGCCATCATAGGCCTTCTACTCAGTGCTCATATAGGTTTATTTCAATATGTAGTTTACAATAACTTCCTCACTGCCATAATTATGTGTATCAAATATTCTATTATTGTACTTGCCAATATATTCATTGTACAGTTAATTTCTTTAATCCACAGTTATCTCTGAGATGAGGAAAAATAGTGCACAAAATGTGGATTTATAACTTTGAGCAAAACAGGTGTTTTTTCAACCTTCCTTCTTCACAATGTCTAAATCCACGTTACTGATGTTTCATATACAGTGCTATTCAAAAAGCCCCCCCTCCACATATTTTTTGATCGAGCCAAATACTTTACAATTTAAGAATATGAAATGATTATCTTCCAAAATGGCGATCTGGCGGGCTGTCAAATGTTTTTGTACATTGGATCGTTTAGAATTCAATAACTAATAATCAAAATATCATCAATATATTATCAATCTTCTTTTCTTGGAGGGTCTATCCAAATACAGAACACTAAATTGAAAAAACTGTCAAAACCTGTCACTTTTTAAACTTTCATGTCTGTATCACATGACCATCCATTTAAAAATATAAGATGGCGTCCAGTCGCCATCTTGATGCTTTCAAGTGTTATTTTTACGTTAGATGTAGTATTCATGCATTAATTTCCTTGCTGTTTTAAAAGTTAGTAGGGGGCTATCTGAAAAGTCCTATATGTTCCATTTAAATACACACATTACATGGTTATAAGGGAAAAATTTACCCTGAGATGAATTTTGGTTACTTATTGTGAACTGTACGAGTATTTGGTTCCCTCACGCCAAATGTTAAACTCATTTCCTACTGGTTTTTAAACGTATTCGTGATAATCATAACGTGGGCTTTGGTGATGGGTTATTTAATTTTGAATAAAAGTATTCGTTGCAGCAAATTTTGCAGAACTTTGTGAGAACCTCAACTTAGGGCATGTTCTAGCAAAACTTTTCGAATGGTTTGCAACTATGAAATTCATTTCACCAAATGGGTTGCCAAAAGAATGACACGCAGCTATGAGAGTCAAATTGACTTGGTTGACTGTTGCTATTACTTGTCAGGTCTCCTAAACTTCTGCAGAAACATATATTATTTAGTTAGGAGTACATCTTTTCCTGAAACTAATAGTTTCAGCGAAAAAAGATTTCAAAGGAAATTATCTCCCTTTACACAGAGTTCCTTTTCATCAGTGTCCGTTTCCGTCCGATCAAAGATTGTGGTAACAGATGCCACTTATTTCAATTCGGCATTGTTTTTGGAGGTTAACGTTTTTTATGCTGTTCTTTGAAATCACTGTAGCTTCAGTTTTTGACGTATCTTGGAAAGGTCCACTTAAAACTCTGTAGGGAGGTACTTTCCTTTGCTACAATGAAATCTTCAAGGCCTTGAATCACAGTTTCATTGGTACCACTGTACATATTTTCAATGAGACTCTGGTTCTTGACCATCTTTTCATATGTTTGTACTTAATCGAATTGGTGCTTAATTTGTTTATGAAAAAACATACGATAACAATTGAAATAAAAAATTGATACTGATATTGTTTTTATTACCATGCTGATACTCCTGCGCCTTCTATACACAAATAGACTTTGTTGTGGTTTCTCAAGTCAGAGATTTATAAGTTGAAATCCATCGATGCCATAGAGGTCAATATAACCTAAGCTAAGGTTCTTCATCTTTTTTTAACTGAACAATATAAACAGTTGAATATATATTTATTTGTTAGTAAATAAAACAAAAAACATAAGGAGGAAATCCACAAATATGAGGTGAATTCGTGTTATTTACAAATCTTAGATTTACATGATTGACTGAAAATTTTGAGTTAATGCTTCGCTTGTTTCTTAAAATACTCTTTTTCAATTCTTTGTACAAGTTCTATCAATTTAGGATAGTTTCTTACAGTATTGGCTAGATCGCTCCTTGGCAATGGTGTCGTCAAGATTGTAAAGAGGTGACCAAACACCAAGGCATCCAATTCAGTTGGTCTGCAAAATAAATAAAAATATATTTCTCCAGGCTTGTCGGAACGTATCTGTTATACACAGTGTGCCATTTTAAGCTCCCCACCTAAAGCTTTCGAAAACTGCATATTTTAGAACAAAACTTTCATACAAGTTGTAGGGGAGGCAAAATGATGGTGACTCTTGACTTTGTCTAAGATCACAGCCGACGTCAACTACGAGCCGTGATGAAAGAAAGGCAACACCGCGCTCGGACGGCATGGTAGTGCTACCTGTGAACGTCGGCCGCCAGCGGCTGTGTGCTCCGTCTCCGTGTAACGTTCAAGAACTAAATTTAATTTTGGAAAAGAGGACAGTTCGATTCGATACAAATCGTCTGAATATGAAACAGCTCTAAAAAATTTAAAAATACCAAATAATCGTGATATATATGAGTCGCTAATGCAGTTAACCTAATTAAAAGTATTTAGTTTACGTTTTTTGGTGTCAGCACACTGTGTTCCAACAGGCCCAGCTTGGAAATGTGGAGTTACCTTTGTTTTTAATACATTTACTTTCAGTTTTACTGTTATTTTTCAATTTTAAATAATCATTCAAAATTATGTTTGAAAAAATAGACAAAAGCTTAGATAAAATATCTGCATAATTGCGGCCACAGATGCAAGTTAAAGAAAATTCACTTTATATAAAGTCAGACTGAATGCTGAGCAAGGTTAACTGACACAAAATAAATTTTTGATTATTGCTTTTCAAGAAGAAAATTTCCAATCTATCTACATTAATAATAGATTCAAAAATGGCATACATATGGTAGAATATGATTGGTACATAACTGGTTGGAATTGACAGTTCTCCTCTTTGCAAATGATCAAAATAAACATTTGTTGTTAATGAACCTTTTTCTTTAACTATTAGCGATTTGCATATCTCGCAGTTTAGGTTTTAGAGATAGCTTGTGAAGCATATCCAGATATATAAGTCTTAGTACTATCCTCTATGTCACAATTGGCTAAGTAATTTGTCTCAAATACTTCATTGAATATATCCAAAACTTCAGGATTTTGTTTGGTATCCAAGAAATCAAAATTTTCTTGAGTTTCTAAGCAGTTTTGGAACCTTGTTTTAATTTCTGCTAAAGAAAATGACGATTTCTTTTCATTGAAAATATGCTTCAGCCGTATTTTCTTTTCAGCATTTAAAATTTTATCATATGACACATTGTAATTGCAGCCACATAAAAGTCTATAATTGCCAAATCGTTTTTCTAAATTATCAGTGGTGAATTTTCCAGGCAATACATACTCAATGTCAAATTGATTAAATGAATATTCAATTATATTAAGTAGAGTCAGCGTGCTTTGATATAGAGCTGTATACGTTTCTGGTGTCAGGTGTCCATTATTATTCGCTAGATTATGCCATTTTTCTAACCATATCAGGATTTTTTTTAAAATTGTACTCTATAATCATATTTATTGGTAATAGGCTTACAAAATTCGTTTCGCTTCAATTCTCCTTTTATTACACTTGTATTACTGACAATATCCCACCAATTCCTGATTATTTCCAAAAACTGCGCACCATCATTAAACTTTAATTCTTTCATAGCAGCTATTGTTGAGTGATGGAATAAATTATCTACAAAATTTACATTTTGCCTTTCAAATGAATTTGGATGCAATGTTTTATAATTTAATTTATATGCTTTCTTAACTACAGCTTCTTTTTCCAATTGATATACAGCACGAATGTTTTCAAATTTCGCATACTGAATAATATCATTATTGTCAAAATTAGGATATAAAAAAGTTTTGTCTAGGTTTTTTAAATTAATCCAATTATTTCTGATACTCTTGAAAATATGCACAACATCATAAGTTAAATATATGTTCTTATCAGGATTATGTGGATTTGGAATAGAATAATGTTCTGATGAATCCTTTGCTAATTTCCCTCTATTAATTCGGTGATTATCAGTAACAACACAAATAACTTCAAATCCACATTTTTGAACTTTAAATTTGAAATTTATCTTTGATCTTATCCATATCATCGAAATTCTGGATAGCTTTTTCATGTTTCTCAATTAATTTTTGTTTTCTTTGCATTGGGTCAGTTCTTTTGGGTGCTTCAGTTTTTGAAAGATATGATGGCAAGTTTGGGAAAATGGAGGGAATAGCATTTTCTTTCAATTTTGGATATTTCAAAGGTATATTATTTTGGACTGTTCCATCCGCCAAAACTATATTTTGTCCTGATGATATCTCTAAAATGACGACTGCACACAGCTGAATATTTTGAAGGTGTCCAATTTTTTCTGGGAATTGCCATAAGCCATTTGTTTTTCAGACTTTCGGTACTTGGGAAGCGAAAAGTTGAAACATAGCTTTCTGTTTTCAAAGCAGAATTATAGTTTGCATTGCATAAAGGAACACAGCAACGAGGCATATTGTCTGCGTCAAATACTTGATAAATGAAAAAAGAAAAATACAACCTGAATTTGCACGTTTTCAATAGTTGAAATCCTTAGCGTCCTGAGGCGCGAACAGCCACAGGCACACTTCTTAGTTTATTTTTAAAGCACAGAAGCACTACAACTGGAGTCTATTTCTCATATATTATAGTCATCGATCACTTTGAACACATACACACACTTTGAAGCTTAGAAAACAAGCTTATCTCTTAATTACAGCCTCTGGGATTCCAAAATCACAGCGTTTTGAGCACGAGTTGCATCCATGCAGCAAGCAGCGGTGGGAGTAACACTACCACCTACGTTGCCAGATTTCTTTGTTCACGGCTCGTAGTTGACGTCGGCTGTGCTAAGATCTTTAAATTTAAATACCATTCGAGGTTGAGCGAATATTTTCAGCCCCCCTTTTCACAACGGACTTGAAAAAAGGAGCGAATTTTACGTGCAAGCCTTACCCCGGCCATGACCTTAAACATTATCTTTAACATCATTTCAAGGTCAAATACATACACTGAAGAAAATCAGCTCTAACAAAAATGTTCGACAGCACAGTTGTGAGATTTGTATGAGTCAGCCAAAGGTGACCTTGACCATGACTTTCAAGGTCAAGTCAATATTTACAAAGGAAACCTGTCATTTTTATATTGTAATTGGAACAAGTAGGCAACTTTACGCGCGAACGCGACCTTGACCTCGTATAGCATTTAAGCTTGGCATGACCTTAACGTAGAGGTTCTTTTCATTTTCAGAAGTTTCTTTTGGAATGTAATGATGTCCACAAGCCTCAAGTGTGACGTCAGATTTTTGTTAGAGCAAATTGTGTTTGATGTCTTGATTTCGCCTTGAACGCAATCGTCAGGGTTGTGGCTAAGATGATGCTCGGACGTAAAATTTGCTCCTCTCTTCAATTCCATTGTGAGAAATTACCTTGTAGGTAGTAGTCAAGGACACTATCAAGGTCACCCTCATTTCGCCCGCTCGAAACCCTAAAACTTTTGCTTGAAACTGTTTTCCAGATTGTGCATTTTTCAAAATGTTTAGGTGAGATTAAAATAGGACACAGTGTATAAGGATTTTTTAAACGACTTTAAAGTACTCGTAAACGGTCAATAAACAATCTAATCTTTTGAAAAAACATGTACAACAATTAAAATAAGAATTAGTATGACCAAAGAGGATTGAAGATCCTAGCACCAACTATTAGACAGTAGCAGAATCAAACACTCCTAAGTATTTTCAAAGTCGATTTGTAAATTCATTTTTGTGTGATGCTACTATCTGGTAGATGGCGCGAAAATTATTTTTTCAAGTTCCAGTCAACTATCCCATAATTGTTGATGCGGCAACGCTGCTTCTAGGTCGGAACTAGCGTGTTATGTGCATTTCGTGACGCTCAATATTTGTGTCTGTTGTCATAAGTGATAACACATGCCAACGCGGTTTAACCACAAGTCTCTGGATATCCCATAGATGATCTTCTGACTAAACGTAGCTTCCGTTTTAGGTTAAACCAGACATTGACAACGCCTTTTGAGAGTCAACTTTTGGTTAGCACCAAAGTTTTAGTTAAACTGTTATTGAAAAACCAGGGATACGGGTGATTACAACGGTGGACGCAGCATAGGAAGCATTACACGTAGTTAGAGAGAATCCCGTAAAATTCAATGACGAAATTTATTTACTTATTTTTATATTGATAAATTGCCACAGCCTAAATAGAAACCTTACCCTTCCTCAAAAAAGTATGGTTTTCCATCTAATCGAGTATTGAGAGCTTCACAACAAGTTTCCACTTCCGAGAAAACGTCTTCGAGTGTTTTGTTGTACCAGTCAAGAGCTTTAAGTTTCTTGATAACTTGACTACGTTTTTCCCAATTTTGGATGTGGTTTAGTGGCCATGGATATACAGAGCCATGTCGCACACTAGTTACTTCATTGTACGTCTCTTTATCCACCCAACAAATGTATAACTAAAAAAAAAAAAGATTCAGCTCATAAAGTTTTGCCCCAGCATGCGTTGGAACAGTGAGGAGCGTGCTTTTGCCGTTGAGACCTCCCTTTCGAGTGGATATTTTGAGTTCACAGCCGAGCAGGCCTTTCACAATCGCTTCAATTTAGCCCGGTGGGCCCTCTCCCAGGCTGAAAACCAACTGTTGTGGTATGGTGTTCAGACAAACTGCAAGTGCGACAAGTCGAAAAACTGGAGTTCCTCGGCCCATTAGATCACCTGAAAACGTTGGGGTAGTGAGAGCTTCAATGTTGCGATCAATACGCTGATCTCAGCGCAAACCGGCGTCTACCCTTGGGCTCTCCGATCATTCTTTTGGAAGAATTCTTCATGATGATTTTCAGTTCCATCAATTCCCATCTGGAATAGGAACTTTCTGAATGTGACTCCAATTCTCAGATGAACGTGTGCGAGCGTCTTCTAGAAGACGTTCGTGAGGACGCTATTGTTTTTTTTACTGATGAACCTCATTTGCATTTGTGTGGATTCTTCATCAAACAAAATATGCGCAACTGGGCTGACAACAATTCTCGAGAATCGCATCAACGACCTTTGCATTTACCTAAAGTCACAGTGTGGTGTAGAATTTCCTCAGCTTAAGGTATTGGTCCCTGGTTCTTTGAGGAAAATGAAGTCGCAGTGACAGTAAGTGAGTAGGACTTGGAGGTCATGTAGTCTTAACAAGATGGTGCTATGGCACACATTTCAAGAGCAAGCTGCTTTGAGGGAGCACTTCCCAGAACGCTTCATCTCAGTTAGAGACGATTTGGAGTGGCTGGTCCACTCTACCAATTTGTCCTTGTGCTTTTTTCTATGGATTTTTTGAAATCCCATGTTTATGTGAACCCTAAAAGGCTTGAAGTCTGGACATCCAAGAAGAAATTGCCAACATAACACCTGTTATTTAGGCAGAAGTCATCACAGACAACATATAGATATACACATATCTCATTTGATCTTCAAAACAATGTACAACAAAACTTGCATGCACCTACATAATAAAAAACAAATAAAAATATTCAGAATCATACAATGGGTTTCAATAGTTTTGAAATAATGAAGTTTTGCTACTGTACCCTGCAATTATGGGACTTTACTAACAGAGTTTCTGTTTTTGTCTAAGAAGTGATAAGGGCATATTTAGGCGAGGGAGGGCAGCTGAAGGGATGTACGAAATGTGTCTCCATTTAGACCATGTGGATCCTAGTGACAAACTAAAATGACAGTGAGAATATATGCATGCTACTTAAAAAATTAGTCTCTTCAATTTCAAAGTAATGTGGGTCAAAACTCAAGGTAGAAAGTGGGTTGCTGAGACTCATAGATCCCAATAACTAATGGAGATGTACCTATGCTTCCATAGCAGATGGTGATAGTTTAATAGCTTAATAAGACAGACAATGGCTACCAATTTTTTATTAATATTCTTTTTTGCCAGGAAGATATAGTCTGTAGAATTAGATTTCTGATTCCATCAAATAATTGCTAGCCTGACACAGGGTCCATCCTGATATTAACCCTAGAAAGGTAACCTTCGTAAAGTATATGTTAAGTGTAACCGTCGTAAATTTTACGAGCAAATATTTCTTGATAACGTGTTGCTTTTTTATATTTTTTTAAAAATAAAATCATAGTAAATATTGAAAAATAACTCTTTATTTAGTACAAATAAGTTGACAAAAAAGGAAATTTTAATTATTAGTAATACATAATTTACAAAAATTAGCCCGGTGTTCTGGACAGTACGCTTTTTGACAGCGAGAACAAAAGTGGGTTGACATCCGACGCCTCTTCGTAGGACAAATATTGCACATGCTTCTTTTTGATGGTCCAGGTTCCCCATGTGTTTCTTGAACTGGTGCAGGTACAATTTTATGGATATTTTCACGGACTGACGTTGGTAAAGTTTTTATTTGCAAGCGCTGTTCAAGCCATGGTCGTACTAATTCTTTATGCAGTTCTAACAAGTAAGCTCTTCTGCTGATTGGTTTTCCATTGGATTTAAGAGTATTATGACAGTATATAACATACGAATTTATGCTGGCCATGTTTAATATACCATAGAAAATGCAAAGTGGCCAACGTTTAGTTTTTCTCGAGGTGCTCATATTACTACACATTTGGTCAAATGTGTCGACGGCACCTTTAGTTGCATTATATGACTCAATTATCTCAGGTTTTCCGGATGACTGTGTAATGCTATTATTTTGATGCATAGTAGATATTAGGAGTACGTTTTTATTTGATTTAGCTTTATAAGAAACCAGAATTTTTTCTTTGTCAAAACAAAATTTCGAGTGCCCAGTGGGACGGTTGCGTAAATCCAACATTTCTGGCGGGATTTCCTTCTTGTTTGATCTAATGGTGCCAACAATGGTAAGTTTATACGGATTCTTTAGTAAATCATCTGCTAGCTTTACTGATGTAAACCAGTTATCCATTGTGATATTCCGGTTAGAGTTGTGGACGGTTTTAGTCAAGGTTTTTACAAAATGTTCCCCTAGTGGAAGGCCATCAGTTGGAGTACTTTTTCCAAGGTATGGAGCAGCATCTATCATATATTTGCTTTTAACATCACATACCATGACAATTTTCAGCCCGTATTTAGAAGGTTTATTTGGTAGGTACATGCGGAACGGGCAACGTCCACGGAAACCAAGAAGTTGTTCGTCAATTGTCAAGTAACTCCCAGGTTTATAATATTGATTACAATGCTGAATAAACTGGTCCCATATTTCACGAATGGCTGCGAATGCATCTAGTTCTTTGCGGATGTCACGAGTACTTTTGTCATCGAATCTCAGACAGTTTATCAAAAATTTAAATCTGGCCTCACTCATTGCAGCTTTGTAGTTTGATCCACAAACTTTTTCGTCAAATAACTCGGAAGTTGGCAAATGATTATCTTTCATTGCTGCTGAAAAATATAAGAGACCGATAAGTGTTTTTATCTCTGTTGAATTTGTCTGAGAAATAGTAGCTTTAGATTTTTTGTACTTGAGAGATTTTAGTTTTATTTCGGCGTTTGTATGTTCAACGATAACGTCAATCATTGAGTCTGTTACAAACATATTAAAAGAATCAAGAGGGGTGATAGCTGCTTTTGCTTGATCTTTCGGACCTGCCATTATGTGAATTATATTTCTCTGTGGTGTTCTACCTGACATCTTTTGAACAACAGTTGTCCAACGATGACCATCTTTGCCCTTGAGTCCTGCTTTGGATGTGGATGTTTCTCTTTCTGGAAAAATATCTCTGCATACCATGTTTTCCATTTCTGAAATTTCATTTGCCAATAACGGATTATCCTGTCCCTGACAAACACCAATTGCAACCACTTCCTGTTCATATTCTTTTTCACCACTCTTAAATTTTCTTTTCAGTGCACTATCAAGAGACTTCTTCTTTTTAAAGCATCTTTTTCTACTGGGTCCAGGTTCATCAAAACTGTCATCTGACGGCAAATATTCTGACTCAGATTCTTCAAAGTCTGTAAATTGTTCACTTTCACTTACACTTTCACCACTTGCATCGCTTTCCCAATCTTCTAGTTCCCCTTGATGAATTTTTTCTATCTCTATTTCTAGTTCTCTGTCCGATAAAGGTCTAATTAGGTCCCAATTTCTCGCCATTATTCCTTTTTTTCTTCAATTTCAGAATGTCTCTTTTAGCACACAAATTACATTAAATGTAACCCTCGTAATATTTACGACTATCACACTCCAAAACCACCTTACGCGAACAGCAGTTCAAATTTCACAATAACGTACGTACAGATCGCAGGTTTGAATTGAACTAACTGGCCGCTGAACCCCCTCCCTAGTGCCAATGCGAGAGTGCAGGAGCCAATCAAAACACGAGTCGTAAATTTTACGGTGGTTACCTTTCTAGGGTTAATTATATTTTTAGGCTAAGTTGATCAATAGCTTATCATATTATACCTCTGCATTTTCAATAACATTGTGTATCAATGACATAAATGCTCTCATGTCAGCCTTCTGTTCATTGTCCAGCTTCTCTGTTAATGTGATCCCTTTGCCATTTACAAATTGCACAATCCCTTCTAACTCAGCTATAACAAATCTTCCGGCTTTGATAAATGGCACCTTTAATGTAGGGGACATTGCTTCAGCATTTTCTTTATGTACTACTTTATAATCTAGGTGACACATTTTTAAGAAGGCTTGTACAGCTAGGCAGTTTGCGTTGTCTGGTAGCAGGATTTGCTCTACTTCGTAGGGCTGATACAGTTCCACATCTTTGGGCCATGGCTCTTGTGCTGAAATAAGGTTACATTACCAATAATGGATTTCATTTATTTAGAGTTGCAGTTAAGGTTGAACAAGATCGTACCTACCTCCTAATTCAAGTGATATTCTGTCTATTACAGGCAGGCCCGATTTTGTCATTATTTGTTGTAGAATTTACCAAGACCCAAAAATACCTCTTCAAGATATTTGTTTTCAAATTTTACTTTTAATAGTGACAAGCACGTGACAAGTATGACATCACTGACAAATTACATTCATAACGTCAACGCACAACACACGTGATGGCTAAAGTCAGCTACGAACAGCATTGCAATTTGCCCCATGTCCCAGGTGGTGAATGTAGCTGTAATTCTGTAGATATGAACCATCAAAGGTTTGGCTGGACGCGACTTCGTAAATTGGCTACTACTATTTAACCAACAAACCTCTTTATTGCTGTTTGGTCAATCCTCAATCTAACTAAAAACAAGGAAGCTTCCTTCCTTGGAAAAATAATTATTATATTTTCAACCGTCCGTCCGTTTTTTCGAGAGGCATTGTACAGAGAAATAGTTAGTTCAGCAGCTTGGTTCACTTAAACAAATACTAGATCCTAGACTGGAATTACTCGAGTACCTAACCAATCATTTATCTTATTAAAAAATATATTAAAGGAATGGCAAATGTTGCTTTGAGTTTTCCATTACTTAATAAAAGGCACTCTGGTGAGAGATAAGATAAATATGCACCAATGAGTAGTGTAGTGGTGCGAATCTTAAGCCATGTACAGATATGTAACAACACTGGGAACCGAACCATGCAACGAACTGCGCCGCGCTAGTGTAGACGGTAAAAAAGACGCCGTCGCAAACCTGATTAGCGTTACAGATCGCCGTTCGGCCCGATCTAGGCTCTGTCGGTTTTTCAGCGCAACATCAAAGGAATGACTCGGGACGAAGTTACACATGGACAGGCATACCGGTGCGGCGAGCACCAATGTGTTATTTTGTAATGTTCTTAGAAGTAAAAGAATTATTTTTCTTGCTTGTATATTTTCCTTTAAAACCTCGATCAATGCCCCACAAACTTCTGGAATGATGTAGCTGATCCATAGCTTTGAAATTCGAAACATGTATTCCAAGCTAGTGTATAAATCACCGGTCGCTAAAAATCGCAAGTCTTTCTTGTACTGTAATGGCAGCTATTGCGCTATCAAATTGTTGCTGTGCTGACCTATTGATACATAACTGCGTTTGTCACCATTGTCTCGGATGTCGTCATCGCTTGTTTTTGGATAATTCATAGTGAATATAAATATAGGCAGATGCTGTTACTGCTATATCCATTTCCGCTAGTATTCGTCTTTCACTAAACGACAAACATCAAAATTGGATCATTGTGTTGCGCGATGTGGTTGCACGACGTCGTTCGGTTTGTGGTGATATTCGTTGCAATGTTGTTCGTCAAAATGCGCGCGCTGCGGTTCGTCAAGTTGATCGGTTCGCGGTGTTGTTATATATCTGTAGGTACATGGCTTTATAATTCTACTATTTATCGCCATATTATTAAGGAAATGCTGAGAGCCTCACAGTACTTCATACAGTAAGCTCAATACTTATTGCATCTAAACTACATAAAAAAACGGACACTAACTAATTCCTTGCAGTATTGGTGATTCTACTTCCTCAATTTCATCATCTTCAATTAATGAGAAGTCCAAAAACATTTCTTGTTTGCCTTTGTAAGCGAACGTGGCTTTAGTTTCTATTTCTATCCCATTACGTTCACATTCCCCTTTTGTTACAGCTGGAAAAACGCATATTAGGAAAATTTACAACAAAACAACAGTCATATATACCTTCTTTAGGGTTCATATCGATATCGTACGTTAGATTTTAAATTTTTTAAGAGAAAAATGTTAATCAAACCTTGCGACATTCCCGCTGTTATATCTTTTGACACCCCAATTTGACAGATGACAGGCCTTCACAGCGCTGCGTCCGTAAGCTGTTACGGTGTGTAATGCGGGTCCCACACGATGCTTCTAACGTTGCATTCAACGCTATGTACAACGTTGCATTCAACGTGGTGTACAACGTTGTTTACAACGTTCGACACACCACAATTGGCAAATGTGTTTCCTACACGATGGGATGAACGTTTTAGCCTCGAACGTTCGACGCATGGTGGCGCCAACGTCTATTATACAAAATGAACAATGAAACAATTTTTTTGATAGCCGAAAAATAATTTCAGATCTGTCTGCAGCGACCAAAACTCGAGTCTGTCAGAAGCCTCAGAAATTTCGAAGGAGAGTCAAAATTTCATCAAAATCTTGACAGTACTTTCAGAGTTATCATTTATTTAATCGTTTTCATTAGTTATGAAATGCAAGTCAATATATCTGTCAACTAGTCTTGCATTGCAAAAGGACATTATAATGAAACAACTGTAAATACTTCATAATTTATAATTTACTAAAATACATATCCTTAGGCCAGCCATAACTCACTCGCGAAACGTACAAAATATTAGCAATATGAAAAAAGTGTTGTTATGGCAGCCTATGCTTTGTATACTAATTCTCCTCAAAAGTTAGTTACGGAACATACATTATTATGAATAGATACATGATACTATAATCAAATTCAAGCGGATAACCAAATGGAAATGGTATTTACCATTTTGGCTTGGTATTTACCAATCCGTTCAAGCGAGTGTAGTTATCAGTTTGGTTATAAATCCGTGACGTCACGAATCAGCTGTTATATGTCATAGTTATCACCGCAAAATTGTGGTATTTACCCAACTCAATAGTAGTTTTATATTTCTGGTTATTATTTGAAATGTGACAAGTTAGAATTTTGCCGGGTTTTGGATATTGTTATTGTACTTCAGCTTCATTTTTGAGAAAATTGATACAGGCTGACTTCTGTTTTACCATAAAGTGGAGCACCTTATTAGTTATACTCATTACGGTTGTTGGGGACACTTTAAATGTAGTTCCTATGCTTAACAAAGTATCCTGTGTAGCCATATACCACAAGAATATTAAAATATGGCCATATAAACTCACTAGATGATATCCACCTGTATACGGTTTTGCTAATTTCTTTTTTCATCATTTCTGCTGAATCAATAAATGTTTTCTTTGACATGCGGAAAAATTTAGAGAATTGAAAGTTATCATAGCTACAAAGCCATGGTTCCATCATTAAAAAAAAATCTGAAAAAAGCATTTCTTCCATGAATATTATGAAAGGTTTCTTATTTAAACTTTCCATATACAGTTGTAGACGAAAAAGCACCGATTATTAAGTAATAATAAAAATAATCAGAGATTATATACGCGCTTTTATAAAATAAACAACTTGCAACAAAACCGCGGTTAAAACCAACGCGTTCAAGCGATTCGTGTAACTGACGTCATCAACCCGTGTGTCATCTTGAACCATATTATAACCGCGGCACATAACACAGAAATTTTGGTTATTCGCTTGAATTTGATTTATGACTGAGAAGATAAACCCACGCGCATGCGATCAGGTTATCTCTCTCGCACACGTGATGTCACTCGGAGACCCAAATCCCCTGGGAAGTTCAGTTTTATATGGCACTTTAGCTTGTTTAATGTTTATGCTTTGTTTAATTAGTTTGTGATCTGCTGGTGTGGCTAAAATTTTGTGAAAAACAGTTAATCTAACATTGAACTATGGTGTACTGTGCAGTGGTGGGTTGTAAAAACAACAACAAAAAGAAAAGCAGATACTTTTCAACCTGCAGTTTCTTCCGCTTTCCTAAACACAAACAAGTTCGCAAAGAATGGGTTCTGAAGTGTTATCAGCAACACACATTCAATACTGAAACTGCAAGAATTTGTTCGAACCATTTTGTGGAAAGCGATTATCGTCTAAAGGAGAAACTGTTGGGTTTACCTGAAAATAAATGGAAGTTGAAAAGCGATGCAATACCCTCTGTTCATTTGATCAAATCACCAAAGGCTGAGACTCCTCGCACTAGGAGAATAAGACAAAGGTTGAATAAGGAGCTTGTACAATCAATCGATCAACAACTAGAGGTAGAAATGGCAGAAGTACAAAGTGAAAGTGAGGGAGACAAAGAGAACATTCCTGAGAAAAATAGAACTGTATCCACTCAAACAAGGTAAAAAATGAATAAATTATATAATAAATAATATAATCATGAGAATATATATACAATCATCTAAATATCTATTTTATTTTAGTAAATGTGATGTTGATCAACACATCACAAGTCTTGAAGTTGAAATTGCAAAATTGAAGCAGTTACTTCAAAGAGAAATGGAAGAAAAGGAAAAAATTTCAAAAGTTTTCACTGAAGGGCAACTTCGTAAGCTGAAATCAACCAAGGAAATCCAGTGGAGTGTTGGAGATGTAGCTTCAGCTATTTCCTTATATGCAGGTGGTCCCAGGTCATACCGCTTACTCAGAAAAAGGGGTTATCCTCTTCCTGCAGTATCCACTTTGAGAAGATGGGCTAGTAAAATTAATATTGAACCAGGTATTTAGATAGATAGATAGGTATAGATTTGTATTGGTCATTTGTCTAGGTATACTTGAAAACATACTTTGTTAACAATTGTGCAACTATGATTGCTTCCATGAAGAGTAAAACCATCAGCGTTGCTTTTTACAAATTATAGATATTTGAATATGTAATTTGATGAAAACATTCTAGGATCTGCATCAGTGTGAGTGTTCTTCAGAGCTTTCTCATCCCATGTTTAATGTCATTTTTTAGTCATTCAGCATTGTTGATTGTTTATTAATTTTTATGATTAATATTATGCATGTAACTAAGATTGAATAACATATAACTACTTCAATTGTTTCAAGTATACTTAACACAGTACTGACACTGATAAAAGACACAGCTCTGCCAATGATGGAAAAAGCATGTGTCCTACTCTTTGATGAAATGAAAATTCAAAGCTGTTATGAATATGATAAGAAGAGTGACAGAACCTTAGGACCCAGTAAATATGTGCAAGTTGTCATGGCTCGTGGAATATGTGGAAGGTGGAAGCAGCCCATATTTTATGATTATGACAGGAAAATAACGAAGGATCTTTTGTTTAAAATCATTTCCAAATTAGAAAATCTGGGATACCCAGTTTATGCAATTAATTCCGATTTAGGAGGTAGTAACAGGGGACTATGGAAATCCTTGAATATAACAGAAGAAAGAACATGGTTCACAAATCCTGTAAGCCAAAAAAGAGTACATGTGTTTGCAGATGCACCACACATGATTAAACTATTGCGAAATCACTTTCTTGATGATGGTTTTATTATGAATGGAAAGATTATAACCTCTAAACCAATTGTAGATTTACTCCAAAATACACAAAATTTAGACTTAAATATTGCACATAAAATCAATACCGATTTCTTAACAGTTAAGGGTCCTCAACGACAAAAAGTTAAATTTGCAACCAAATTGTTTTCACACACAGTATCAAAAGCAATTTCAAGGCTGGGATCATTAGGTATTTTCAAAAGTGAAAACAATTGGGTTGAATGTTCAGAATTAATAAAGATCACCAATGACTGGTTTGACGTATTCAATTCGAGAATACCTCAGAGTGATTCAAGGGAACGTGTAAAGGCATATGGGTTGGCTTTAGATGAGCAAAATCAAATTTTAGAGTCAATGGAAAAAACAATGCAAAATCTGAGAAAAGTCGGCTCTAACACGTTGTTGCCGTTTCAACGAGGTATTATAATCAGCATACAGTCTTTGAAGCAGCTTTTTTATGACATGAAAGAGGATTTCGGTATAAAATATCTATTAACTTATAATTTGAATCAGGATCCCTTAGAAGGTTTTTTTTCACAAATTAGAGCAATTGGAGGCTTATATGATCACCCCACTGCTCTGCAGTTCAAATATAGACTCCGCAATTACATCATGGGACGAAATGACGACATTATTTCCAAATCAGCAAATATTGCTACCATAGGGGACGTGCCAAATATTGCAATCGCTAGTGTAAGTAGTATTTCGGACCTTAATGTGTATGAGAATGATGTCGATGACTTTGAAATTGTTACTGGACAAATGTTTGAAGTTTTAAATGTACCAAATTGTGATGAACCTGTACAAAAAGATTCCGATCCAGAGGATACAATCATTGACCATCTCCAAGAATTAGAATGGGATGGTTTAGAAAATTTGGCTGGTTATATAGCATATAGGTTAAGGAAAAAAGAAAATTTAGGTGTTATTCCAGATGACAGTGAATCATCATTTTCATGGGTTAACCACCTCTCTGAGGGTGGTTTATTCAAACCAAATGCCGATTTTATGGTCAAATGTAATGAACTTGACCATATTTTCGGCACTTTTAATGGGGAAACATTGAAATTAACCAAAAATTATCTGAAATCTTTGATGGATTTAGCTGCATCAGTTAGCTTGAGTGCAGATGCCAAGCATCTTTTTTTTCGTTGCAAGATGTATTTTAAAATTAGGAGTTTGAACAGGCACATAAAAGAAAAATCCCAGGTTGCAAAAAGGAAAAAGTTGAAAATTGTGCAATGAATTATATACTAAGTGATATACATATAAATCCGAACACCCAGTTTAAATGGTTTTATTTTAATAAAAGTTGGTGAATGTATTTATCTTACTGTAAATAACAAGTGAAAAAATGTTCAGCCTTATCAGTTGGACATTCCGGTTTTTATACTGCTTTTTTTTAATTCACTAACGATCTAAAAATGAATATTTCAGCCTTCATTTACCCTATCTTGACACCCTGTCAGATCCAACTATCCAACAAGATAATGCCCGACCACATGTTGCAAGAGTCACAATAGACTTCTTTCAACATAATGATGTCACATTGTTACCCTGGCCACCAAGATCTCCCGACTTATCCCCAATTGAGCACGTGTGGGATGTGATGGGTAGGCGATTGCTCAATTTGCAACGTCCTCCTCAGACTCTAGAAGCACTTCGAGAGGAGTTGGTGGTTGCCTGGAATGAGATACCACAGGAGGACATTGACCACCTGATCAGAAGCATGCCTAGGCGCGTTGGAGAATGCGTAGCACATCAGGGTGCATCCACACATTATTAAAGGTCAAAGGGCTTTAAAGCAGTGCAATCATTTTGAATTTTTTATCATTTACTTATTATGCTTCATTAAATACTTATACAAAATTTTATTAAAATAAAACCATTTAAACTGGGTGTTCGTCACTTAGTATATAAAATTTGAGGCGCCTAAAGGGACAAATCTGGGATTTTTTTTGCCAATGTGCTCGAAATGGACTTTTTTGTGTTTTCTATTGATGAATCTTTTGTATCTTTACTGATGACTATTGTAAAATGAATTAAATAAAACTGTTTACCAATAAATAAGATTTTAGGGAAAAATCTGAGATATTCTTTTTTGCCAATATGGTCCAAATGTGAGATTCTTTTGTGTTTTCTATTAATAAGACTTGTGTATTTATACCGATGAATATTGTAAAATAAATTAAATAAAACTGTTTACCAATGAATGAGGTTTTTATTGTCACCTATCTATAAAAATATTGAAAAACTATGTAAGTAGACTACCTATTTATACATAACACTATAAAGACATGAGATGCGACATATTCGTCATCTATTTTTTTCTGCTGAAAAAATGCACAAATGAATTATTATTTATTTCTATAAATAAAGTGAGCCCCTTTATTTAGAGTTACAACAAATTTTAGTTATTAAACGGCTGGTGGCATGTTACTGTTCATTTTTGAAACCCATAACTTATCTATAATGATATATTCCAACGCGCGACCCGCCCGATCTCTACTTGCGGCCCAACTGACAAACTCCATTAAATTCTATTGACAAGTACATCAAAACATAAATAATAAAATCTATGCATACTATGCAATACTAAAACAATCATGTGACATTAAAAACACTACAAAATATAAATCAAACATCCCAAATATTGAAATCACAACGTCTAAATCTACATCTAAATCGTATCTGAATACACTGTATTTCGTACTGCGCGCCAAACATAGGTCTCCGCGTGACGTCATGCGCAAAGGCGTACGAAATTCGACCGCGAAGTGAGCTTACCTTCATAGTCATAGTATCATGGAATAGATAGGTATTCAAATCAAGATAATTCCCACATACCACTACTTCGCCACAATCACAGCGAACAAGTAAATAATATTTTTCACCGCTACTGGTTCTAACCTAAAACCATCAAACACATGACATATCGTGTGGTAGCGTAACGAACCTTGCTTCCAACGTTGTAACGTCCTTTGTCGCGGGTCAAATTTACCGACAAGAGCCCGAACGTGCCATGTGGCGAACGTTGGACACATTTAATCCGTCAGCGCTCTCCCATACGATGTGGCGAATAGCCATGTGTCCAACGTTGTATGGCATTCCCCACATCATGTGGGACTGGCTTAAGCAGTAGATTAAACCGCTCCCACATGCCCATTCGCCCCATCGTGTGGGAGAGTGCTGACGGATTGCATGTGTCCAACGTTCGCCACATGGCACGTTCGGGCTCTTGTCCGTAAATTTGACCCGCGCCAAAGGACATTACAACGTTGGAAGCATGGTTCGTTACGCTCCCACACGAGATCTCATGTGTTTGATGTTGTTAGGTTAGAAAAAGTAGCGGCGACAAACATTATTTGTTTGTTGTGATTGTGGTGAAATAGTGGTATGTGGGAAGTATTTTGATTTGAATATTAATAATAATGTATGTTCCGTAACTAACTTTTGCGGAGAATGGATTAAATTAGTATACATCCAAGGCATAGGCTGCAATAACAATACTTTTTTGATATTGCTAATATTTTGTACATTTCGCAAATTATGAAGTGCTTATAGTTGTTCCATTCCATGTCCTGTTGCAATGCAAGACTAGTTGAGAGATATATTGACTTCCATTTCATAACTATAGCAGACACACTTGCCAATTGTGAGGTGTCGAACGTTGTAAACAATGCTAGAATCATTGTGTGGGACCCGCATTAGGCTTTGATTGTGGCAGAGTGTTTCTACCTATTATCGATCCACCTTAGCCTGACAGCTGTCAAATGCCAGTAGTTTAGCACCTCAACGCCACTGCTTCGATCTTTCACCGTATTCAAAATGTCTAAAAGAGGTGGGTTTTTAGTTAATTTGTGAAAAATCCTAAGAATTCTCAAAAATCCTAAGTGGAAACCGAAAAATTTAATAGCGGATGTGTTATTTGAATCTTCAGATATCTAGCACTGTACCTATTTTTGTTATTAAGATGGTGCAATTATTTTGACTTGTATGTAAGGTTATGTTCCCAGTTCTAAACATGTTATTTTTCAGGACGTGGTGGTTCCGCGGGAGCCAAGTTCAGAATTTCCCTCGCCCTGCCCGTAGGAGCAGTAATCAACTGTGCCGACAACACTGGTAAGTTCTAAAATTGCGTTTTCTTGTATCTCACTAACATCAAAATTCAATGTTTTAGGGGCCAAAAACTTGTATGTAATCGCAGTACAGGGAATTGGCGGTAGGCTGAACCGTCTGCCAGCCGCTGGTTCTGGTGACATGATAATTGCTACAGTCAAGAAAGGAAAGCCAGAACTTAGAAAGAAGGTAAGTTAATTAAATTATATTCCTTTATGCCTCACGAATCTAAAAACAAATCATTGGTTACGCTAAGCCTTTACAAATTTGCATGAATCAGTCGTAACATTTTTAACAATCTGTTAACAGCCAAAATGTCATTTCTTCAACCCACAAATGAATTTGTTCAACTTTTGCTACTTACTTAATAAGATGTAGCCTTCAATTATCCTGAGCAGATTTTTCAGCAAAATTTTAAACCTATTAACTATTCCAATACCCATTTTGGAGGTGATTCAATTTACAAGTTGACTGTCAATTTTTTATAAAACTAGTGTGGGTGATGCTACACTTATTTAGGGCTTATTGCAGGATTGTGTATACAACAGTGTAATATGTAATTCTGCACAAAATAAAATCTTGGATGTAGCACTTTTTATATGGGAATTTGTTTTTCCAAAATGCTATATTTCCCTAACATCAAATACAAAACAAGTGACATTGTTGAATAGACCACAGGAGATATGATAATGAAAATAACAATTAAAAAAAGTATATTTGTTAAAAATGATAATAAATAATCTAAAACAGTATGTTGTAGAAAAAAATGACAAATGGATAAACCAAAACATAATAAATTGTGTAAAATTAACAAAAATACACTAATACAATATTTATACATAATTAAAAATAAAAACAGTAACTGACATGGTATTTTCTAAAACAACATAATATAGGTCAAATGAACTAAAAGCATAATGCAGTGCTGTAAAAATTTGCATCCATTCTGTTCTGTGATCGATAATCGATATACTGTAGTGTGTGGTCTATTCTATGTTATGTGTTTTCTGTTGCTTTTGACATTGATGTATTGCTGGAAAAACAAATTTCCATATAAAAAACACTAGAATACATTATTTTCCTTCTATTGCATATGTTGCAGAAGCAGAGTGATTATTTCAGTAATACTTTACAAAAAACACAACATGCTTCTTGATATCCTGAACCTCCAAATCTTTACATAGTAAAATATGAGCTGCACCAGCATATACAATAACATTCATTTCAATGAATTCTTGTAGTTTATTTCTCATTGCATTCATACTGGCTGCATTGTTGGTAACAATGCTACACTCTACACAGTTGTTGTTCATCAGTGATTTTATCTAATTTATGGCAAGGTCTGTTAGATTCACACATGTATGAGGCTATCCAGATGTGTCTATTGTATCTATCAAATAACTTCTCGTTTTTCCGCTTGATTTATTCGATTTTTCTTTAAAATATTGCCAAATAGGGCCTTTTTTTCTACCACCACTTTGGGACATTTCATCTATTGAAAACACCCTACTAGGAAATAAAAACACTCATTTTACGAATGGGCCAACTATACTCGTAAGAAATGATCCGTCTTACGTCAACCGCTCATTATAAATTCATATAAAGACGAACGAATTTTCTCGCTCCAACAGGAAAGCCACTCCAAGCGCACATGTCAACACAAGTTTCTACTTGCAGCTCCTACTGGCAGGGAACTATTGTAATTGCGCAAATTCTCGAAAATGAGGTATGTTTTCTGGATGATATATGTACATCACAAAGAACCAGGTCACTCATTTCCATTGGTCGGTCTGTCTAGTAATCCTATAACCACATATAACTTGAGAAGTATCACTCGAATGCCAAGGATGCAAAAGCTTTTTAGTTTTTGAAAACACGAAAAAAACCTCATAAACTGCGCTTTTTGATGTTCCAGAGGCTCTTGCTCATGTTCATAAAAATTTGAAGGAGTTGAAAATCGGGGATGTATCACTTTTTTTGCAGTAGTTTATACACTTCACAGATCGTTGATTTCCCCATATATTTGCACTTGCAACTAAAAATAATTTTGGTCGATACTTGAGCAGAGAAGAAACAAGGGTTAGCGTTATCAAATGAAAATGACATAATAAATAATTGCTTATGAATTGATGATAACGTTCTAAGTGCAGAGTCAACCTACTTGACGCCATATTTTGTATGTCGCCGATGGGATTTTCTTACTACAGGGTGGGCCATCAAGTTCAGCCGGTTTTAAAAAACCATAGAAAAAACTACGGAACGATGGGAAGATAATTTATATTTTTAATAAAGTAGACAGATGGGAATTTTATCTTTTAAAAATAGTATTGTTCAAACTGCAAGTGCTCTAACATTGCTTTGCCAAAAGCACGGCGTATATGGGGGACATTTAGATTCAATTCCTGTACTAATTGCAAAAGATGTTCTTGATATGGCGAGTTCAGCCGATCTCTTTGGGGTTGATAATTGGTTATCGCGTCATATGGACTCGCAGCTTAGCTTAGTTTCCTCTATTCGTATTGATCCAAATGTCCCACAGGTTCTTGATTCAGTGTTGAACCAGTATACTCGACCTTTCTGACCCACGACCTGGTCAAACTTTCACTAACGCATCGATTTAGATCATGTAAACTAAATTCGGAGCCGAGTAGCGCTGAGCAATAGTGCACGAATCTCCATTTTTGTAATAAGCCTTTACATAGAACCCACACTGCTCACTGGTGAAATGCTCCATGGCGACTAAATTTCTGAGTACCAAGCTTCCTATCCCTACTAGCCGCGCCCCCCTCCCGGGTGCCTATCACAAGCAATGTGGTTTTGAAATTCGTACGCCTTTCGGGCCCACCCTGTATAAGTCAAATATTTTTGGGCGAATAGAGAAAAATAATGAAAATACATTATTTCAAAGTTCATTATTGCCATAAAATCACCAAAAGGTAGAATACGTTTGATAACACGTAATTATGGTCTCCACCACCAAAAAACGACAATAAACAATTTTTCTGATTTTATTTTCAATAAATAAGCTCTGTGTATGAAGAATAATCTTACTCATGAAATAGTCCTGTCAAATACCATTTGGGCATCTAATTTTTTTTGGAAAACCAAATTTGTCTGACGGCTTGAGTTCATTGTGTACAAGAGAGAAAGTGTGCATAGACACATATGCAAGAAAGAGATAGAAGCCGGCTGGATAGGGCAGCTCATCTGATGATTTCAAAAATCATCAGGATAATCTGAAACGCCAAAAAACAAAGTTTCAGCGGTTTTTATTTATTTTTTTCAATTTGTCGTTTTTCTCCGTCGCCACTGGAGCGCTTTTCAAAAACTACAAAGCTTCTTCGACTTTGGCATGGTAGTAACATTGTGTAAGAATTTCATGAAAATCCGAGCGGTACTTCTCAAGTGATAGGCAGTTATAGGATAGCGGACAAACAGACAGACGGAAAGTAACATGGTTTTTCCTTTTCGTGATGTACTTGTCATATGACATCCAAAAACATCTCATTTTCGAAGATTTTTGCGAATACAATACCTCCCCGCCAGTAGGCGTGGGAAGTAAAGGTAATATTTGGAAGGGTCAAATCCTCTGGGAATTACAAAATTTTGTTTTTCAGTTTCTGATTACTGTTAACAAGAAAAAATGACGGTTATTATCAAATTTTTCTTTGTTTCATAATTCTCAATTCCTATTTTGTTTCAGGTAATGCCTGCAGTAGTGATCAGGCAACGCAAGCCATTCAGGAGGAAGGATGGTGTTTTCATCTATTTTGAAGACAATGCAGGTGTCATTGTGAACAACAAGGGAGAAATGAAAGGCTCTGCTATTACTGGACCTGTTGCAAAGGAATGTGCAGATCTCTGGCCGAGAATAGCTTCAAACGCCAGCAGTATAGCATGAGTTGTTTATAATGTTATAATATAAAAAAATATTGAAAATGGGAAAAATAAAAGTATCCCAAACATCTCTTTGGTAGGTTTTCTGTTAAGCTAAAAAGTTTTCCTGAACAATTTTTACTTCCTATGCCACTAAGCAAAATTTCGAAAATGAGGTATTGTGTTTTTGGATGTTATATGAAAGATGGTGTCCCAACGAAAATGGAAGTAGTTTAATGAGCAAACTGGAAACAATGTCTAAAATTTGTTTTTATGGCAACCTTGATAAGCTACTATTTTTAAAATTGTTTTAATAAATACAGGCTGTTCCATAACTTGTCATAGCAAACACGTATTTTTTAAATAGAATACCCTATAATTTTTTGCATTTTTGGACAGAGTTGCTAAAAACAAGTTTGATATATAACATATGGCTTCGATTGTCATTTGTTTAGATATTTACGTTACAGCTCCGCCCCTTTTGACAATACTTAAATAAATTTTAGTTCGCCAAAATTTTATTATTGCTAATAAATTATTAAGCTGATCCGAAAGGTTAGTAAAAGTATCTTTCTATTAATATGGTGTATCTCAAAACGTATAATGTACCTTTTCTCATAAATTTCAAATGTAACACCCTGTATATTTGCTCATCATCAAATAGCTTTGCTTGGGAACTTTTTTTTTATATAAGGTGTTTACCACACTTGTTATTGCTATCAATTACAAGAAAAAAATATGTATTCCACATTTAGACTTGAAATCAGATTTTCCATGAAAACAATCAAATTTTTTTTCGCACAAGACTCGTGTTAACCCAAGACAAACATTCATTATGAAGTTGTAATACATTCCAAGTAGCTCTGTTGTTTCTCTATTGTTTTGATAGATTCTACAAATATTTCATGTTTAAATAAAAGATGTATTTGGTTTGTCTTGAAACCAATACGAATAAAAAACGTTTGGAAAAATGTTGTATAAAGCTTATATCAACACCAATTTCACCAAAAGAACTATTTAACGGTATACCATTTAAAAATTTTGAGACAAAAGGTCCATTTTCCGTTTTGAGACACCCTTTAAATCAAAAAAAAAAATTTTAGCACTTTTTCCAGATCGGCTTAACATCGATTATAATAAAAATTTTGTGAACTAAGATTTATCTAAGTATCTTCAAAAAATGGCGGACAATTGACAATCGAAACATGTTACACGATTTAAACTTGTTTTTAGAAGCTTCATTATTCGCTATGGCACGAAGTTATGGAGTATATACATATATTAAAATAATTTAAAAACATACACTAGTAATATAGTTGCCACGACAGATTTTTGATCTGTTCCATTTTGCCCAGTTTCGATGGGACACCCTGTATACATGATGATGTCACTCATTTGCGTCGGCGCTCGGCGAAAAAGTTTTTTCAAATCGCTCTAGTGAGAGGATTCTGATCATTTTCAGAAAATTTCTATAGGCGTTGAAATTCGGAGATTGCAATGGAGATTATATAATATGACGATTTTTTAATCTTAGCATATACCAACCCCGGTAATTCTATGCATCTATTAGCCATATTTCACACATAGATTTCCCCTTACATTTGCCTTTAAAACTTGGAATGACAAATGTTTTTGATCTGTGCACTTCTGCTATTAAGCTTCACCCCCTCTGGCGAACCGGTCCGGCTGGATAATCTATCCGTTACTGGAGAGTAAAAATGACACAGCACGCACGAATGAATAACTCGCTGCAGGGAAGACGCGCAGATGGACAAATGGACAACGTTGCCAGATGGACAGTAACTACCGGTAGGGCAGGGAAAGTGTCTATTGAATAATTGTATGGGCCTTTTAATGAATAACTTGATCGGTTCAATTCATTTATATATATTCGTCATTTTTCTCTCAGATTTCAGTTGCGCTGAATTTCTTTATGAACTTATGACGGCTTTGCCTAGGAAGTGTATTCAACCATTTTTTTCTCTAAAGAATGCTTAATATTTTTTGAAAAAATGCCGTCGACGATTGTGTTATTGATTGGCAGCATCTCATTGAAGTGAAAGTGTGTAATGATTGTTCTGGCTTTGTTGCAAATTTTGCTTCTAGGTAAGTACATACATAAAATAAACTAAGTTAAGCGGGCTATAGACGTTCAATATTATTGTGTGGCTTGCCCAATATTTTGACGGTGGCCCATAGGCGGCCAATATTATTGTACAATATTTTGGTTTGTACGAAAGATTGTACCGTATGGAGGCAATATGGCAGTTTGCACAATAAATATATTACGCAATCGTGAGCACAGACGTACAAGCACATTGTGCCCTTGTCAGAATTTCATGCACTTAACATGTTGTGTGAAAGTGACTTGTATTGCGTGGTAATTACTGTGGCCGCAAGTGCAAAAAAAGAAAAGAAAAAGGGAGCAGGTTTATTGATAGGAAAAAGTACACCCACGAAAAATTACTCGAACTGAGAATAGCTGAACCAAATGATTTGGTGAATGGACGGAGAACTATTTGATGAAGGCCTCATTCGAATGAATTGAGACTAACTGATGGGATATTGCGTAATGTTGCCAACAGACGGCACAATATATTTTCACGACTTTAAAAACCACACAACATATTGCACAATCTTTGAATTTTGCCCACATACAATCAATTATGTTGAACAATGATATTGAACGTTTACAGGCCGCTTTACATTTTTGACAAATACGCATGACACACACCACATGAACAGAAATAAACACCTCTCACATCTACATTCGAAAACAAGCATGACGACGTGTAACGTTTTTTACTTGTCAATCTCATCCTGCAAATCTTCAGTTCCGTTTCTGGTATAACTTCTGCTTCTAGACGATACCATTTCCCGTCGTCCATGGAAATTGTTTCAATGAAAGGTTAGATGTACAGAACCAGGATTGACTGTCCTATCAAAAGTTCTCGATGTTCTTATATAAAAAATAGTAACTGACGGTTTATTTATAGAAAATGAGGTAAACAACAAGAAAAAGCGGTCAGTTCCAAAATAAACCGTTATGCATTACAACAAAACTGTTCTACAAGCTGTTTAGGAAGCATCTGGTACTTCACCGTCAATACCAAATTCAAAACAATCGTGTAGTATTGTAGTAATCAAAACTTAGTCTCCTCTATGACTGGTTAACATACTCTGTCACTTATGTGTTGGAAGAATTGGTTTCAAATACATCTGGAATAGGAGATTTACAAACCTTTAATTCTCGGACAATCAAATTTAATTTTTTTCCACTACGTCGGCTGTATCAAAATTTACAATTTGGTATTTTATGATTTTCGGAAGGTAAAAATTTGGGGGTGGGGGTTATAGGCAGTGGAGGAAACTATGTCTCAATCTTTCGGCATTAGTAAGCTATCTATCCCATGTCCGTTGATCGGCAAAAAGGGAATGATTTTTTTATTGTTATGGGCTCCATTGAGGCTAATAGATACAATGAACGTTTTTTCCCACGCATTTATGAAATAACAAAGTCCTTTACAAGGGGACCTTGGGCATGGGCGGAGAAGGAATAAGAACACAATTTTACATGGAGAACTTTAATTATACAGGGAAAACCTTGCTTTGAAATATATAAGATGCGCTGTTATCAAACGAACCAGAATTTGTGGCGATCCTGACCTTTCATTTTGACCTAAAATAAAGCGTCGTTAGGACCGATCCGGAATCGATTCTAAACAGATTACGCTCAAAATAAAACCACTATTTGAGCCTAGAGAGTAAACTAACGCGTATTTTCAACATGCATCTTAATTCAAGGAACTGGTGTAACATATTGGCAACGCGGCAGATTGCCACGTCAGCCTTGCTAGGTAACGTGGAGATGAGCTTCGCTATCAAGCCGGCTTCTATCTCTTTCTAACATGTGTGTCTATGCACATTTTTCTCTCCTAAACATTGAACTCTAGCTGCTAGACAAATTTGGTTTTCCGTGTATAATAAGTTTTATTATAAATTATTTATTAAGAACTAAAACTGGTTGCACTTGGTTTTAGGTTTTTGCTGTTGTTTATCCTGAAAACTACTAATGTAAAATAATTCTAATTTTATCCCAAATTTTGTTTGTGTTTACGGAAAAAATATATCTGAAACTCAGACATATTTTAATAAAAATAACCTCAGCTTTGTACTTTCCATTCCCCCCAAGGTCACCTCTGGAGAGCTTTTAGGACTTCAAACTTGAAAAATAAGTATGATTACTTGCTACAACATTCAAAAATATGATTTGAACATACAATCAAAAACGAATCGTAATGTGGATAATACGAAACCTGCCCTGTTTCGATGGTAAGCAAAAACAGAATACAGTTTTAGAAGGGAACGAAACGCGGCCAAGATTACTTCAAATCAGGTTGTTCATCTTCCTATCAGTCTAAGGAGGTTATTTGTTTATCCTCCGCAAATCGAATCATTCCTTTGATTTCAATCATGAGAACGATCGACGGAATTAGAGAATATTGGATATTGGTATCCTCTTGGGACGTTGGGAATTGGAGGGATATTTATACGCTTCGAACACCAGCAATTTCTACTACTACATGACTAATGCGAGTGCGAGGCGCTGGATGGCAAAAAACATCTCTTCGGGAAACTAAAACTAGAATCGATGGAGCTTAGAACAATACCGACAGGAAAACTACTAGTTGATACAGAACATTAGACTGCTGGATTGGGTACTGTAGGCTTATTTTACACAGAAATTCTTGTACATTTGCCCATAAAACTTAGAATCATATAGAGAAATGTTTTAAACATATACTAAGTGACATATAAATCCGAACACCCAGTTTAAATGGTTTTATTTTAATAAAATTTTGTATAAGTACTTAATGAAGCATAATAAGTAAATGATAAAAATTTCAAAATGATTGCACTGCTTTAAAGCCCTTTGACCTTTAATAATGTGTGGATGCACCCTGATGTGCTACGCATTCTCCAACGCGCCTAGGCATGCTTCTGATCAGGTGGTCAATGTCCTCCTGTGGTATCTCATTCCAGGCAACCACCAACTCCTCTCGAAGTGCTTCTAGAGTCTGAGGAGGACGTTGCAAATTGAGCAATCTCCTATCCATCATATCCCACACGTGCTCAATTGGGGATAAGTCGGGAGATCTTGGTGGCCATGGTAACAATGTGACATCATTATGTTGAAAGAAGTCTATTGTGACTCTTGCAACATGTGGTCGGGCATTATCTTGTTGGAAAGTTGGATCTGCCAGGGTGTCAAGATAGGGTTAAAGATGAGGTTCTAGAACTTCGTGGATATAACGCTGCGCGTTCATGTTACCTCTGATGAAGATTAAAGGTGACCTGGAACCATAAGCTAAAGCACCCCAAACCATAACTCCAACAGTGTGATGAACATGTCTTTCAACAAAAAACTGTGGATTCCTCCTTTCACCACGTCGCCTTCTAACCCTGGCACGACCATCGTGCATGCCTAAACAAAATCGAGACTCGTCACTAAAGACAATACTGTTCCATTCCTGATCCCAAAGTGACCGTTGTCTGCACCACTCAAGGCGATTACGTCGGTGTTCTCGAGTTAAAGGGAGGACCCAGTGTGGCCGGTATGAAAATAAGCCAAAACTTCTCATTCGTCGGTAAACACTTCGCATGCCAATAGGTCTTCCGTGTTCTGCAAACCATTCATTTGCAATGGACCTGGTAGTGGAGAAACGGTCCCTTAAGGCCAATAATCTTAGGCGGCGATCTTCACGGTCTGTTGTTCTACGGCGGCGTCCAGTGCCCCTTGCTCTTTGCGTACGGCCTTCTCGAAGCCATGCCTGACAACACCTAACCACAGTGTCTACACTTCTTTGCACTCTAACTGCAATTGCCCGAAAAGAAAGTCCAGCTTCCCGAAGTCCCACTATACGGCCCCTATCAAACTCACTAAGTTGACGAAATCGTACAGGTCTCCGTACTCTAGGCATCGTAACCGATCGTAAAGGATGTCAAGAACCAAAATCCGCCAACGTTGATTCTTTACTGCGGCTGAAATATTCATTTTTAGAGCGTTAGTGAATTAAAAAAAGCAGTATAAAAACCGGAATGTCCAACTGATAAGGCTGACAAATTTTTCACTTGTTATTTACAGTAAGATAAATACATTCACCAACTTTTATTAAAATAAAACCATTTAAACTGGGTGTTCGGATTTATATGTCACTTAGTGTACTTGTCGAATGCAATGAAGGTAGAGCGCTATACCTGTATTTGAGGTCTACCGCTGATACGGAATGTGCTTAGTGAATGCAACGTTGGGGAATGTCGGTAAGACAGGGAGGAAATTCCTTGATCGCAATGTTGTCACATAGGTGTGGTTTAGGGACTAATTTGCCTGTTTGCTGACCTGATCCATTTAATTCTTTTGTTACATGTTTCGTAGATAACTTCTTTCTCAGGTTAGTTATAAAGTATTTGACAACTCTATTTGCCATTCATTGAAATTTGAAAGAAAATGTGCAAAGTGAGAACGCATTCAAAAGCAGCCATTTTTTTTGCTTTTTCTCTTAAGGTTTCAAGGAAATATTTGTGGTATAGGTTCTGCCGTGCTAAGCATATATTTCGAGTTTTGAGGCATATTTGTTTATTGATACCTAGTCAATCAACGTTATTTTCTCTACTCATTGCCAAACATTTTTGGCCATAACATACAATAGTATTCTTAGAATCCTACTTTTTTGTTTGACGTATCTGTACAAAGGAATCGGACGTTCAAACTTTGAACGTCTTTTTTTCAGGCTAGGTGCAGATACCCCCTCTGTGCTTAACACGGCAGTATATAAGTACTACAATGTTTTAACTATAAAAATGCTGTAGTTTACCCCACATTTTACAATGCTTAACCTAGGTCAAGCTGTCACGCAGATACGGCCATTGTCCTATTCTTTTTTCAGTAAATACTACCATGTATTTTGTGGAATAAACTATTTATTTATTATTGTTATTAGGAACATATATATATATATATATATAATATTATTCTTCACAGGTACTATAATTTTTATTTAAAAAATGTCTTCTTCAACCAGTTTTCCATCAAGATAAAGCTGATGTATAACACCTTGGTTTTCATCGGCTGAAGTAGCTTTTATGGTAGCATACGTTTCTTCTAAAGGAAATGTAATTTCACTGCCATCTTTCACAAACGAATGCTCCGCCTCGCATATCTGCCCATTGACATATACATTCAAAGCCTGTTTTTCTGAAAGAAATAATAAAATCTAGAAACTGTCAAATATTTTAGAAATGGCGGAGTAGCTTTCACCAAATTTTGAAATAGGGACATAAATCGTTCTTGAGCCGCTTTCTAGTGCCTCATTTGTATTACTCTGAGTAACTCGGAGCTGCCTACCACCTGTCAATACCATTCCAGTGCTCTAGAGTGTCATGCGCCTGAGCTACTCATTTTTTAAATCCCCGCCCCCTTGTGCACCCGCTTTTTATTCGGTGTACTTTCCGAAATAGTGGGGATAACGAAAATGACAATGTGATAAGATTGTTAGGTTATATGTTTTCGTTTTTTTTTTGCATTAAACTCAGGTTAAACCGATACCAGGCAATGCATGATGGTAAAAACTGATAATGTTATGACCCAGAGTCACAACGTACATTTGAGATGTTCCTGAATAATAAAGATCACAAGAGAGTGCAAGAATGCAGGTTCATAGCGGCTTGTAGTTGGCTTCATCTATAACTAGATACTGAAAATAATTTTGAATGTCAGCACTAAAATATGAATTCGGCACATTTATCCAGAAGCTTTTTAATAAAAATGCTGACTTATGACGTGTCGCACCATCATTCTAAAAGCATCATCAGGCATCGATTGGATGGTCTGGCAATGCTTCTGAAAGTAAAGGTAAAATGTGTTTACATTCTTATTGTTTCGCAGTGTGATACAAATTGTCAAAGTCAAAGCAAAACATCAAAAACAGGTTACGCTTTGGTCGTCGTGTTCCCGTGCACTTTTGCTAGAGCAGTTCGGGAGCGCCACAGGCTGGGTGCATACAACTTTCAATTCAAAAGCACTGGAAAGCGGCTGTTTGCACTATTGCACCTTTGGACTTCATTGTTGCCAGATTTATCAGGATTTATCGGATTTGATCGGAAACCTTACTACTTTTCTACTACTTGTTTTATAACAATTTCTTCACGAGCTTATTAAAATTGATTTATTGAAGATGATCCAGAATGTGTTCTGCAGTGTCAATCAACGAACAAATGGATTATCTGACAGTACATAGTGCTGCCAACCATGCAAAAAATCCTTGCTCGAGTTTTTCTATATGTATTGTCACAAACAGAATCCATATTGTTAAATACCCACTGTAGTTCTATCAAAGTTCTATACTTGAATTGAAGGGAAAAGAATGGTGGCATCATGGAGTTTTACATTCAACTTGGCAAAAATTAGAAAAGTTCTAATTGCATGAAGAAATCCAGTTTATGCGTCTATTTGACGTCAAATTACTGTTATAATTACTTAATTACTCCTTCCTTGCATTTCGCGTTTATCAATGTTGATAATTATTTGTTTTTCGCTAACGCTAAAATGAAGCCTTTTAGCTCTTTTTTTAGGCGGCGGGCAGCTTATATCAACAACTTCATCATCTGTATCCATATCAAACATTTTGAGTTCTACGAAATTAAACTGACAAATCTAATAAGCACATAGTAATACCAGTATAAATCTGATGCCAACTCTGTACTGTATAAATATATATAGCATTAACGTCCAGCTACCGGGCCAACCTGCACGCACGGTCTTAACGTCTCCCACTCCACCCCATGTCATTGGTTCTGTGTAAGGGCTCGATCTATACTGCCCAATAACGGTTTTGAAATGTATCAGTGTGCTGATTACACAATGATCACGCGATGATCACTGTTTTGGTTTAGTCTCTTTCTTCGATACATACATAATATAATAGAATTTGATCTGGAAGAATTCTTAGAACTCAGTGGGGGCATCGGCCAACTTCAAATCTTAGAAAAACGTCTGTAGTTCCAATGTAGCAATTCCGGTCCGGTGGACCTTTGCTCTTAGTTAAAAGTCTCGTCGGTCTGTTAATCTGTCAGGTCTGGCTACCCAGATACCAAACATGTTTAAAGGCGCGGAATTCCTGAACGGGTTGTTCAGGAACGTAATTGTCATTGTTTTCAAAGGGAAAACTTGGTCGTATCCGGAAAACTATGTTGGTGGTATGTAGATTAGAGTTTCAGTTTGTAGTGATTTGCACTTTTGGATTTCGACAAAAATGAAGGAGGTCGGAGATATGTTGCGTACTGGAGCATTATTAATTTGGCTACATAAATTTATGAATTTTGTCTCTTCTGGGGCCCTTATAAACAGTGTATCGGTGTTTCTTTCTTCCTCTGCTGATGATGAAGTTAACTTTGCGATGAATTGGTTAATGTATGAAGAACCTAGAAACTTATTTGATAAACGTCAACAGCTGTCAGATTTTGGGATCACTCCCAGGGAGCTTTCTATTCTACCGCGTTCAAGAATGGAACCCTGGCTGCAATAATTTCTTTGTTACCACGTTGCCAGACCTATTATTTACTAAGAAACATTATACGTCTTATATAAATCTTACCTAATACTATTCTATACCGTTGACTTCCAATTACTGTCGTCCATGACCTGATGTTTTGCGATTGTTTCTCAGTAAATTGTTCTAGGGGTTTTCCGTCCACATATAAGCTGTATCTGAATGCGAAATGTGGTAAAGGGTCTACCCTTAGAACGCACTTTGTCTTTTGGTTACCTATTTCAAAAGTTTCGTCGCCTACTAGCTTGAAGACCCATTCTTTCCTGACTATTTCCTAGAAAATAGCGAGGTTTAGTTATTGATTGAAACGTCACAGTTTATTAATAATAATAATGAAAGAGGCATAAAAAACTGTTCTGGGTGTTGTTTCTGAAAGAAATAGCGTAAGTGATATGCCTAAGATAAAGATCCTAAGCATGGGAATCTCAATACCTGTGGGAGATACAGTTTAGGTTAAATTAGGAAAAAGTTGAGATCCTTCAGGCGTATTTACATGCCGTTGGGAAGCTTGAAACGTAAAATTTCCATGGTTTTCCGAGATTTTTGGGAAAACGAAAATATGGTTACTTTTTATTTTTTTTCTGTCTTTATTTTAAGAAATATCCAATCCATTTGCACTTTTTAGACACTACTTGTTTTTGTATTTTTAAATTTTGTGCCCGACGGTTGGTTTTTAGGAAACCATCATCAACCTTATTTTTTCAGATGCTCCGAAAAAACAATGCACTCTGTATCATCTTTATACGAATTCAATGATGTATCATATGTTAAATTTTTTTTCTTGGTTATAAGGAAAATGCGTTTCAACTGATTTTTTTAATTTGGCGCTGCAGGCAAATACTTGACGTAAATACCCGTCTCCGAGTATTGTTATCATTGTGTATTTCGGCAATGAAGAAAATTTCGACATGCTGACGTGCTACAGATATACTAAGAATACTGCAGAAATGTATCTTGATAAATTTCCCGAAAGAAGGCAGTGAAGTAATTCCATTTTCTTAGAGTTGGCTCGAAATTTAAATGTATATGGTTCATTCAAAGAGACTGTTGCGTCTCGAAAAAAAGGAATCTTTAGAGGAAGCTCAGAATAGTGTTTTACAAGCAGTTGAAGAATTCCGAGATATCAACTAGGCAAATTAAGAACAATGTAGGAGTAGCCAAATCCATATCCCTATTTATTTTGCGAAAAAATAGATATCACCCCTATAAATTCTGGATTTGCCAAAGACTTAGACCAGGGGATAGCGAACGGTGCCAGCATTTGTGTGAGTGATCCGCTGTGGGCTAAAAAAGTATCCAGACATCAAGAACGATTTGGGTTTAATATACTAAGTGACATATAAATCCGAATACCCAGTTTAAATGGTTTTATTTTAATAAAAGTTGGTGAATGTATTTATCTTACTGTAAATAACAAGTGAAAAAATTTTCAGCCTTATCAGTTGGACATTCCGGTTTTTATACTGCTTTTTTTTAATTCACTAACGCTCTAAAAATGAATATTTCAGCCGCAGTAAAGAATCAACGTTGGCGGATTTTGGTTCTTGACATCCTTTACGATCGGTTACGATGCCTAGAGTACGGAGACCTGTACGATTTCGTCAACTTAGTGAGTTTGATATGGGCCGTATAGTGGGACTTCGGGAAGCTGGACCTTATTTTCGGGCAATTGCAGTTAGAGTGCAAAGAAGTGTAGACACTGTGGTAGGGTGTTGTCAGGCATGGCCTCGAGAAGGCCGTACGCAAAGAGCAAGGGGCACTGGACGCCGCCGTAGAACAACAGACCGTGAAGATCGCCGCCTAAGATTATTGGCCTTAAGGGACCGTTTCTCCACTACCAGGTCCATTGCAAATGAATGGTTTGCAGAACACGGAAGACCTAGTGGCATGCGAAGTGTTTACCGACGAATGAGAGGTTTTGGCTTGTTTTCATACCGGCCACACTGGGTCCTCCCTTTAACTCGAGAACACCGACGTAATCGCCTTGAGTGGTGCAGACAACGGTCACTCTGGGATCAGGAATGGAACAGTATTGTCTTTAGAGACGAGTCTCGATTTGGTTTAGGCATGCACGATGGTCGTGCCAGGGTTAGAAGGCGACGTGGTGAAAGGAGGAATCCACAGTTTTTTGTTGAAAGTCATGTTCATCACACTGTTGGAGTTATGGTTTGGGGTGCTATAGCTTATGGTCACCTTTAATGTTCATCAGAGGTAACATGAACGCGCAGAAGTTCTAGAACCCCATCTTTTACCCTATCTTGACACCCTGGCAGATCCAACTTTCCAACAAGATAATGCCCGACCACATGTTGCAAGAGTCACAATAGACTTCTTTCAACATAATGATGTCACATTGTTACCATGGCCACCAAGATCTCCCGACTTATCCCCAATTGAGCACGTGTGGGATATGATGGGTAGGAGATTGCTCAATTTGCAACGCCCTCCTCAGACTCTAGAAGCACTTCAAGAGGAGTTGGTGGTTTCCTGGAATGAGATACCACAGGAGGACATTGACCACCTGATCAGAAGAATGCCTAGGCGCGTTGGAGAATGCGTAGCACATCAGGGTGCATCCACACATTATTAAAGGACAATGGGCTTTAAAGCAGTGCAATCATTTTGAAATTTTTATCATTTACTTATTATGCTTCATTAAGTACTTATACAAAATTTTATTAAAATAAAACCATTTAAACTGGGTGTTCGGATTTATATGTCACTTAGTATGAGTGGTCTGGAATTCTAGGGACCAAATTATTAGGTCCATTTCTTACTACATCTCATTAACTGTAGAACGGCACCTTCAATTGTTGCAACATGATCTAAAAGACTGCCTGGATAATTTTCATTTGGTACAGGTTAATAGCTGATAGTTGCAACAACTGCACATAACTCTAGGCAAGTTCCAGAGTATCTTTCTCGGCGATTTCCCGGAAGGTGGATTGGAACCTTCAGTGAAGTCTCCTGGCCAGCGCGTACGCCTGATTGAACTCCTCTGGACTCTTTTGTTTGGAGTTTTATTGAAAACCAAGTTTATCAGCATACCTTTGAAACTGAGCAGCAGTTACGAGAATGTGTAATGGAAGCATTTAGTATGATTACACTGTTAGAAGATCATACTTATGCTTAGAAAATAATGGCAACCTACTTGAACACCTATTCCGAATAAAATAAAAGTAATGTTAAAAATCTATTCGTTAATCTGAATATCACTAGATCAAGCATCATTTACCTAATAAATTTTAATAAGCAGTATGAGATATGCATAAATCAGTAATCACATAATATTACATCAAGCATTTGTTCTCATTGCCTAACTCAATAAAAAAAACACATTTTCTCTTCATAACTAAAAAAACAAGTTAACATGTGATACATCGCTGATACTAAAAAGTTAGAAAAAATAACGATCTGGTCAAAGTTTAAAATATACTAAGTGACATATAAATCCGAACACCCAGTTTAAATGGTTTTATTTTAATAAAAGTTGGTGAATGTATTTATCTTACTGTAAATAACAAGTGAAAAAATGTTCAGCCTTATCAGTTGGACATTCCGGTTTTTATACTGCTTTTTTTTAATTCGAAATCAACGTTGGCGGATTTTGGTTCTTGACATCCTTTACGATCGGTTACGATGCCTAGAGTACGGAGACCTGTACGATTTCGTCAACTTAGTGAGTTTGATAGGGGCCGTATAGTGGGACTTCGGGAAGCTGGACTTTCTTTTCGAGCAATTGCAGTTAGAGTGCAAAGAAGTGTAGACACTGTGGTTAGGTGTTGTCAGGCATGGCTTCGAGAAGGCCGTACTCAAAGAGCAAGGGGCACTGGACGCCGCCGTAGAACAACAGACCGTGAAGATCGCCGCCTAAGATTATTGGCCTTAAGGGACCGTTTCTCCACTACCAGGTCCATTGCAAATGAATGGTTTGCAGAACACGAAAGACCTATTGGCATGCGAAGTGTTTACTGACGAATGAGAAGTTTTGACTTGTTTTCATACCGGCCACACTGGGTCCTCCCTTTAACTCGAGGACACCGACGTAATCGCCTTGAGTGGTGCAGACAACGGTCACTCTGGGATCAGGAATGGAACAGTATTGTCTTTAGTGACGAGTCTCGATTTTGTTTAGGCATGCACGATGGTCGTGCCAGGGTTAGAAGGCGACGTGGTGAAAGGAGGAATCCACAGTTTTTTGTTGAAAGACATGTTCATCACACTGTTGGAGTTATGGTTTGGGGTGCTATAGCTTATGGTTCCAGGTCACCTTTAATGTTCATCAGAGGTAACATGAACGCGCAGCGTTATATCCACGAAGTTCTAGAACCCCATCTTTTACCCTATCTTGACACCCTGGCAGATCCAACTTTCCAACAAGATAATGCCCGACCACATGTTGCAAGAGTCACAATAGACTTCTTTCAACATAATGATGTCACATTGTTACCATGGCCACCAAGATCTCCCGACTTATCCCCAATTGAGCACGTGTGGGATATGATTGGTAGGAGAGATTGCTCAACTTGCAACGTCCTCCTCAGACTCTAGAAGCACTTCGAGAGGAGTTGGTGGCTGCCTGGAATGAGATACCACAGAAGGACATTGACCACCTGATCAGAAGCATGCCTAGGCGCGTTGGAGGATGCGTAGCACATCAGGGTGCATCCACACATTATTAAAGGTCAAAGGGCTTTAAAGCAGTGCAATCATTTTGAAATTTTTATCATTTACTTATTATGCTTCAATAAGTACTTATAACAGAATTTTATTAAAATAAAACCATTTAAACTGGGTGTTCGGATTTATATGTCACTTAGTATACCTCAGTAAGCCACAAGTTTTTTACAAATAACGCAGCTTTTTCTTAATTTAACCTAAGCTGTATCTCCCACAGGTATTGAGATCCCCATGCATAGGATCCTTATCTTAGACACCACAAATCAAGCAAAATAATCACATTAATCATATTTTCTATTGCTTAATATTTATTTATTTTATTTATTTATTAACTAGTATATACACTATCCGAACGGTTTATTGCACCATTTAACGGATAGAGACACAGGAATCAATTTTAAGACAAAATTGTTCTAAAATAACTTAAAACTTCCAAATGACTTGACCTACTGTTATGTAAAATCTTAAGCTACGCAAATTACAAACGAACAAATCTACTGCGTTTATTGCAGGTTCATAGTTCTTACATACTACATATATCGGAGAGGAAAGCAACGCATTGGTTATAGCTACGTTTACGTAAAAGTATTTTCA